GGCCTCCCAAAGTGCTAGGATTACAGGCGTGAGCCACTGCGCCCCGCTGGTAATGAATTTTTTACTGAAGGTTTTGAGGGAGACAAAAGAGGGGCTTGTGCAATGCACCACTAGCAGCACCTTTTAAATACCTACTTGAGTTTCTTTCCTTAAGCAGCAGCCTCCCATCTTTCTCTCTTTTCTCTCTCGGATCCGTTCAGCCTCCCTCCCTGTCTTTGACACTCATACTTCCTCTTCTCCTCATCCTCCTCTTTCCCTCCATGATCTTCCGTTTACGTCTCTTTTCCCTTCTAATGTGGAACAAGTGGCCCTCTTTTGGCCCCTTCAGTTTGTATCCGTACCTGCTCAGAAAAGCTTTTCTTCAGGAAACACAATTAATAGAATACGGGAGGAAGGAAGGAATGATAAATAACTAACAATTTTTCTTTTTCATGTTCCTTCTGTCTGAAATTGCACGAGGGAGGTATTAATTGAGTGTGCAATACAGTAGAGAATATACCAAAATATGAAGCCTGCACTCAGGAAGTCTGCAGGGACAGTATCTTGTGCCTAGACAACTGTCCTTTGCCGCACTAAAAAGATTAAATGATTTGCCTTGGCTTTTGTACTTCTTTAGTGCCAAAATATAACAACTAATTATAAGTCATTAAGAATGCAATTTGTTAAAGCTTCTCTATGTAACTTCTAAAAGAACACATTGTAAATACCCTCTGTATGATTTTTAACTCAATGCTCTGTCATTTAAAGTGTCTTTTATTGTCTTCAGATGCACCCATTCTCCATTAAAAAAAATGTATTGCTAAATTCCTCATTGGACTTAACTAAGTGCTCAGGATGCAATAGGCTTCTTATAGGCCTTCCTTCTGCCAGTGTGGGCTGCTAATTATATGAATATAGGTCTAGGGATGCTGGAGAAGGAATTTTCAGTATTACACCATTCAAGCAAATGTTCAATGTCCAACCAAATCTAATTCTATACATGGGACAAAAATAGATGGGATGTGTTATTTGTGGTTCAGCTTGTGCTTGCTTTTTTTTTTTTTTTGACTTAGCAAAGAACTGATTTCATTTTTATATCCTGCTCTATTCTCTACAGTGACTCAAAAACACAGTATAGAAACTTCAAAAATAGAGTCTGTTATTTCCAGTGGCCCCCAAATGGATATTTAAAAGAGCCTGGAAGCGAAATATAATGCAATTCATTGTAGCCCTGCTTTTAGTATAATTTGGGTCTCTTTAAAAGACATACTTTTTTTTTTTTACTGATTATAAAAGTAATATGTCTATTGTGACAAAAATTTTAAATGCATGAAATAAAAATCAGTAACCCCAAAACCCAAAGATAATTACTATTGACATTTTGGGATATTTTCTTTCAGTCTTTTTTTTTTTCTACACACAGGGCCAGTTACAAGGGCATCCATGTCACACAGGGCCCATGTTCAGAAGGGTCCCACACTTGGTTTGAGGCTCTATTGTTGCTTTTTTCGGGGGGGGGGAGAGTCTTGCTCTGTTGCCCCGCCTGGAGTAGAGTGGCGTCATCATGGCTCACTGCAACCTCAAACTCCTGGGCTCAAGCAATCCTTCTGCCTCAGCCTCCCGAGTAGCTGGTACGACAGGTGCACGCCACCATACTCAGCTAATTTTTTCTATTTTTAGTAGAGACAGGAGTCTCACTCTTGTTCAGGCTGGTCTTGAACTTGTGACCTCAAGACATCTGCCTGCCTCAGCCTCACAGAGTGCTGGGATTGCAGGCAAGAGCCACCACACCTGGCCACTTTCTTAGAATTCTTAAAAGTTTTTAAGCAAGGGATATTGCATTTTCATTTTGCACTGGGCCCAGAAAATTATGTAGCCAGTTCTGTCTGCATATGATGCACATATTATATAAATATATATAATCTGTATCATTAAAATTCTTTGTAAATGTTGTTTTTAATACTTGTATAATATTTCATCATATGGAAATATAATTGCTTAACTATGTCCCTATTTTTGGCACCTAGATTGTTTAAAATTTTGTATTGTTATTAATAATGATAAGGAACCTCTTTTTACATTAATTTAAAAATTATGTTTCTATTTCCTTAAAACAACATTCTAGTAAAATTGAAGGGATAAAGAGATATGAACACTTTTGGATCTTTGTATTTAATTTGCCAAATAGCTTTCCGGAAAGATTAACACCACCAGCAGAGGGTAAGAAATTCTCTTTTTGTACCTTCAGCAGCAA